AATTGATCTGCTCTGAAATTCTGTGATTTAGCAATTATCTGGTTCGTTATGGGCAGTCCATTTTCATGTCCATTGATTTTACCATGTAATGGAACTGTTTGCTCTAATTTATTTAGTACTGAGAGAAACTGTGTGTACAGTTTTTTTTATTGTCGTTATTGAAGGCTGCTAGTGTGGTTTTCCCTTTATTTGTAGCTCTTGTTGTTTATTATAGGATTGGACCCTGTACATCTGCACATTAGTTAATCCCGACAGAAGGTTTTTTATTCTGTATAAATAAGTTTAAAAGAATCTTTAACAAACCATAATTTTGCCTCCGTACCTTTTGGTTTTGCTTTCCTATCATGAGTACTCTAAATGTAACACTCACCTCACTGTTTGCATTCTTTCAGTGTATCCATCAATCAAAGCAACTCAAGATTGTTTGTCTCTGGTTCTTGTGATGCAACTGCCCGATTGTGGGACACTCGTGTTGCAAGTCGAGCAGTGCGGACGTTTCCTGGTCATGAAGGAGATGTGAATGTGGTGAAGTTCTTTCCAGATGGAAATAGATTTGGAACCGGCTCAGATGATGGAACTTGCAGGTTATTTGACATCAGGACTGGGCACCAACTCCAAGTGTATCATCAGCAACATGGTGATAATGACTACCCGCCTGTGAAAACCATTGCATTCTCAATATCAGGAAGGCTTCTCTTCGCTGGATACACAAACGGTGATTGCTATGTATGGGATACTTTATTGGCAAAGGTATTTGTAATATAAAGAAAGTTTGATTCACATGTCTACATATGCTTTTGCATGATCAATTGAGCGCACTTTGTTTCCTAAGAAATTATTACTGCTGATGCCTTTTAGATCATGTTGTCTTGTACTTTATATTCTAGTTTAGTATATAAGGATTTTCTTCAGCATGTATATAGGCAACTACTTGAACGGGCAGTACTTTACATTTACATGCAATTGATTTATAATTAATTTTCTTCGTATATTAAGTTAGACTTGAGTTATATAAACTAATTTCTATTTCTCAAATATTTCTTGTAAATAAAAGCATAACATGAATTCTGGTCACAAAAGATAAATAAGTTTGGAGTTAAGATCAAAGGTTGGCTGGGTGACCGAGGGCATATTTTTCTGTTGACACTGAAACACAGCAGAGTGTTCTGTTCATGAAATAAGTCAACCTACTCAACTGGTTCCATTTAGTAGATGATATTCTGTAGCTCTTATTTCTCCCTTGATTTCTGTTTCTCTTAGAGTCTAGCACTTGAGATCATCTGAATATAATTCTTACTTGTGTGAAAATACTGTTAAGATTTTTGTCTGTAATAGTTATTCTTTAAAAAAGTTACATCTCAGATTTGTCAATATTTTCTGGGTTAAGTTTATTGCCACATGCCCTGCCTATATACTGTGAGATATCATTTTGTCCAAAAAAAAAAAAAGAATACTTTGAGATATCATAATGTCTAAATTACATATAGCCTTGCATGCAGTTTGAAGAAAAAAATTAGTTCAGCAAACGTACTTCAATACCTAAGAGGGGGAAAAGTAGAAAGAGTAGCGGTTGGCTTCCACCTTGAACATTTATGATTGTCCAAGATGCGTCATATGAAATGTCATGCATCAAATTTAAAAAAAATAAATGTGGAATACTTCTAAAATGTCTTAAGTCATAAATTAATCCTGCCGTATGAAATGTCATACTTCCAATGCGTGTAATACTTTTAGAATGTCTATGTCATAAATTGATCCTATCAATCCTGCATTTTGATTTTCTACCATCCTTTTATCAATATTTACGGATTTGTGTCAGGGATGTCGTTGAATGGAATGGCTCTAATTGCTCTTTCATTTTGTGGCAGGTGGTTTTGAACTTGGGATCCCTCCAAAACTCACATGAGGCCCAGATTAGCTGTTTGGGTTTGTCAGCTGATGGAAGTGCCTTGTGTACAGGAAGTTGGGATACAAATTTAAAGGTTATTTTCCTAAGGCCTGCCTGCATGGGAAACAATTACTAATATTTGTTGATTTTTTCTTCTTAATGTGTTTTTTTCTGCAATCATGAATGCAAATAGAAGTAGAGAAAAAGTAAGGCAGTGTAATGTGATGTTTCTGTTGCAAGCAGCACCCTTTTTAGACACATTGACCTGCAAAAATATTTTTCTGTGTATGATGTACTTATGATGTATAATGCTTTTGGTAACTTGGGCCAAAAAATTTCTAGTTTATTCTAGAACTCTGAGATCCATAAACCTTGAAGAGGTTGTAGTAACTAGTAACTTCTGTGTGGCATTTTAAGATGCTTTATAGAGCTGAAGCGCTTATAGTTATTGGAATTTTGCCTTCTTATCGGGTTGTGTCTTTCTTTGCATCTGTTTACTCAGTATCTTTCGTTCATTGTATCTAATCTTGGTAGAATAATACCACATTTAAGGACCACATTGTTGATTATGTCTCTCATGAGAATACAAGTCGGTCCCCCATGGGTGTCATCTGTGCAAGAGATATGGTCAGCGCTGTGGTCAATAAATATGGAACAAATAGTTTTGTTGATCTT